CCTGCTGAGCTCTGTTTATGTTGTCTTGTTTCCTTACGTACCTGGTGGTGTTATGAATGTCTGTAAGATGTACAAGATTCAGCATCGGTATTTGAAAAGAACTGATTTGCAGTCCTTGTGAGGGCTTGCCTGCTATGGTTTGTCCTTACTCATGGAGTGCTGCTTTTCTAGTTTCAACTTAAAGGATATCGGGGTTTCCCTTGCTTCCCTTTGGCAGACCTGAACTCTTCAGGTTGGTGTTTTATGCTTCATGAGGCCATGAAAGCTCTGCTCTACTTAGTTTTTTAGCTACTTCTTCTAGGTGCCCCAGGAATAAGCCAGAAATTGAACTGCTTTTTCTTGCTTTTAAATTTATCCATTATGACAGCCATATTGTAATCCTTTCTCTAACTCTACTTTCAAGATTTTGGGCTCACATTTGTTTTTTTTTTAAGCCACTGGGTCCAGAACTCAAACTGTGTAGTTGGCCGTGTGAGATCTAGCACTCTTAAATCACAGTGCCACCAACTGGCCTTATCTCTTACATTAATATTTCTTTATTAACTTTTTTCAGATGATAAAATACTATTCTAGTAATACAGTAATAATTTAGATACAGAAAAGTTTAAAGGAACAGAAAGAAGTTCAAATACAATCAGTAATAGCCAGTTACTTGTTAATATTTCCTTTTAGAGCTGATCTTCATGGAGAGAGGGTTGTATTTAGAGATGTAGAGTTTAGAGATGAGCTTATTTTGCATAGTCTAGTTATGCTTGAGGCAATTAGATATCAAACAGATGTTCAGTGCAATAATAGTGTGGAGATCCAGAAGCAGTAGTTAGAAGCAGAAAGTTAAGTAGTTTGATAATTGAAACTATCAAAGTAAATACTAGGTCGTCGGGAAAGTCATGACGTATTTTCTATACAAAGCTGCATCATGACTTTCCCAACGACCCAAAACAAGCACAGTGGTGGTTATAGGATGCTCCACTGTTAGGGTAGCATATATGGAGAAGGACCAGGGTGATCATGGGAAAGATAAAAAACTATGACTTAAGTTTTGTAGTGTTAACAGCAGCCGGTGGTGCAGAGGTTAAGGCAGTTATATCCCACATGACTGAGTAGGTGGTTTGAGTCCCAGACCTAGTGACTTGAAAAATATTCTGGGCGTGTGGGCATGCATGCCCAAAATTCTGAGAAGAGAATGGAAGAGAAGAAATTGCAGTGTGGCTATTCCCCTTGGAGGGTGATTTCTTACTTTCCCTCTTGTCTCTGCCTCTATTTGGCGAGCACATGCGCCCTATAGCAAAAAGCTACAAAAAAAAAAAAAAAAAAAAAAGGCCAAAAGTAGCCTCATGTTTTGTGTTTATAAGTTATGTGTCTGTAGGCTATTTTTTTGTGTTTGTTTTTTTTTTTTAATTTCAAATTAAATGCCTCTTTTTCTTCTTCTTCTTCTTCTTCTTCTCCTTCTCCTTTTCCTTCTCCTTCTCGCTTTTGCCATAGAGTGCATGTACTTGCCTTGGCAGGGAGGGAAGAGGATTGTGAATGTGAGAAATCACCCCTTAGGGGAGATGGCCATACTGCAGTCCCTTACTCCTCAATTCTCTTTTCAGGATTTTGGGCACGTATGCACATGTCCCAGGCATGATTTTGGTGTATATGTGTGTGTGTGTGTGTGTGTGTGCGTGTGTGTGTATTTGGTGTGACAGAAAGACAGAGAGACAGGAAGCAAGAAATCACCCCCTAGGGGGCATGGCCACACCGCAGTCCCTTCTCCTCCCTTCTCCTCTTGGGATCTTGGGCACTCACACACACACACACCCCTGGCGTGAGTTTAAGCCACCGGATCCGGGACTCAAACTGCAGTCGACTCCATGGGAATCCAGTGACATAGCCATTATGCTAACTGCTGGTCCCCAGACTTAGTTTTTTAAAGTAATTATTCACTAAGGGAATTTAAAGATAGGACAGGAATTCATGATTACATGCTTGCTTACTTGTAACTTGTAAATTGAAGTATCTTTGGTTCTACATTTTTAATTGTACTTTGATAACTTTGCTATGTTTTTGTATCTAAACAAGAAATATTGTAATATGAAAATTTGATTTACAGAGCTACAATAGAAGAGGCATACTCCAGGTCTATGACAAAACTAGCAAAATCTGCAAGTAATTATTCACAACTTGGGTAAGTGAATTTCTTCCTCTTTTAGAACGTTCATTTAGGCATAGTTCTTGAGAATATTAGGCTCTCATTGAGGATATAATTATTTCAAAAGTGTCAATATATTATGCACTTAAAGGTGTTAAGATATGTTAACATGTGTCTCATATGAATATATTCTTGATGTGGTAAAAAAATACAGTTTAACTTGCTGAATCAGCTAATGTAACAGTAAAGTAGACTATTTTTGCTCTTTTATTCATCATTCAGTAGTGTAAATTTAAGATTATCAATGTTATGTTGCACATGAGCAGAGTATTTATTCTAGTTTTCTGTAAATTAAATGTTTCACAGTGATTACGTCAAGGATCCAATTAAGAAGAGGGACTGGATGATGTGGGATAGTGGTGGCATCCATCGTGCTCTATAAGGCTGAGCCACGTGGAAAGGTTCTGGGTTCAATTCTGAAAAACTGTGCCTTGATTTGGGTCTGGCTGAAGCTGGGCACCAAGACCCTGTTTGGGGTGCAGTGTCTTATCTGTATCTTTTTCTCTGTCTCTCGTATTCATGGAAGAAATAAATAAAAAACAAAATTCACTTAGGGTAAACTTTGTTGGTCTGACTGAGGTGGTGCATTCAGGGGAACACTTCTGTGCTATGGCCGCGGCTATCTTGGAGGCCCAGGTTTGGTTTCTGGCCCAGTCTAAACAGTCTGGATGTGGTGGCCGTGCCTGTTGTCTTAGGTATGACTTGAAAGACTAGGGCAGGAGGATCATGAGACCCTATCAAAAATGACTCTCTCTCTCACTTCAAAAAAAGAGAGAAACTTTATTGAAATGATTAGAATGCATTAAATGTCCCCTGTGATTTTTATAGACTATCATTAACTCATTCTTGTAAATATTTCTCTTGAAGAAATATGCTCTTTGAAAATGAAAATAATATTTAAATGAGATGTGCTCATTGCTGTAACAACTATGGAAAGAATAATTGTGTAATCTGAATCATGGCGGCTCTGGAAGGAATGCTTAATCTGGTTTAATTATTTAAAAATTGGGAAAAGGGGGCCGGCAGGTAGCATGGTGGATAAGGGCGCTGGACTCCCACATAGCTGATGGCGGTTCGAGTCCCAGACCTGGTGGCTTATTTACTCTCTCTCTCTCTCTCTCTGGTCAAATTAAAATAAATGAATAAAAAATGTTAAATAATTCTTGTAAAAAAATGGGAAAAGGTTATATTTTAGCTAATATGCTGAAATAATTAATCTAACACTTTTAAGGATTTTTGCAATGACATTGAGTATTTTGTATTTGAGAATCTGATGGGGACTAGCAGATGGTGTAATGGTTACGTCGCTAGACTCTCACGTAGTTGTTCACAGTTTGAGTCCAAGACCTGGTGGTTTAAAACTCACACTTGGCACATGTGCATGTGTGCCCAAAATCCTGAGAGGAGACTGGATGTCAAGGGGTTGGAGTGTGGCCATCCCCCCGGGAGGTGATTTCTCGCTTTCGGTCTCTGTGTTTCTCCAGTGAGTGCATGCACCCTATAGCAAAAATCTCTCTCAAAAATAAAAGAGAATCTGATGAATCTGTGAATCCCCTGAGACTTTATGCAAAATTTTGTGTTAGATATTAACAACAACGTATTTCCAACAAAGAGGGTCTCTACCAGTTATCAGATTGACAAATGATTCTGTGATTTCTTAGTATTGATAGACAGATTCAATAAAGTTTCATAATACAAAATTGACATCCAAAAATCAGCAGTGTTATGTCGTCTAGATCAGCCTCCATCCTTGAGCTTGCAGTACCCTAGCCCAAGTAGCTAGAGTTGAAGGTGGATGCCACTACACACAGCATTTAGTTTGAACTGGGAATTGAACCAGTCGTCCCACCTTGTCTCAATTTGCAGTGCACACAACCATGACTGTGCCCATAATTTATTTATTTTTTTTGTTTTTAAGAGAGAGTTTTTTGCCATAGGGTGCATATGCTCACTGGAGAGACATAGATAGACAGACAGAAAGCTAGATATCACCACCCTTCCCCCACAGGAGGAATGACCATGCTGCAATCCCTTCTCCTCCATTCTCCTCTTGGAATTTTGGGCATACATGCTCATGTGCCCAGTGTGAATTTTAAGTCACTGGCTCTGGGACTTAAACCATGGTCAAATACATGGGAGTGCCGTTACCATTATGCCATCTGCTAGTCCCCATAATTTCTTTTTTATTGACCACGGTAGAAGGCCAGAAAGTAACTGGAATAATAAACTAGCTTTAACACTTGACCTTAGTTTTACTGTAGAAGATTCTATCCTATTCTTAGTTACTAGGTGGGAGATAGAAGGAACATGGATTGGCTTCAGTTATTTTTCCAAATAACAAACTTACTGACATTTTTGCCTTTGGCATGTGTACTTCTCACAAATAACTGGTGATATACTTTAACCACTCTTACTTAACATAGCACTAGAAGTCCTAGACAGAGTAATTAGGCAAGAGAAATAAAGGGTATCAAATTGAGAAGAAGGAAGTCAGATTGTCCCTGTTTTCAAACAAAATGATCTTATATATAGATAATCTAATAAATCTGCCAAAAAAACTCTTAGAACTGATAAGCAAATTCAGTAAAGTAGTAGGTTATAAAATCAACATACAGAAATCAGTATTTTTTTTAAACACCAATAACAAACTAAAAAAGAAAAAGTAAGCAGTCCTGTTTATAATAGCTCCAAAAAACAAAATATATAGGAATAAATTAACCAAAGAGATAAAAAAAAAACTCTACAGTGAAAGTTATGAAAGAAACACTGATGAGAGAAGTAAAAGATACACAAAAACTGTAAGACCTCCCATGTTCATGGATGGGAATAATTAATAATTGTTAAAATGTTCATATTACCCAAAGCAGTCCACAGATTCAGTATAAATTCTACCAAAATGCTAATGGTATTGCTTTACCTAAACAAGAAAATCAATCAAAATTTGCATAGAACCATAAAAGACTCTAAGTAGCCAAAGCAATTCTGAGCAAAAAAGGGCAAAGTTGGAGATATCACACTGCAAAACTTCCATTTGTAAACACAATAACATGGTATAGTGTGGAAAAAAGGCACACACATTCATCTATGTGCCTTTTTTCCACTCAGAACAGAGAACTCAGAAATAATCCACATACACACAGCCAACTGATTGTCAGCAAGGGCAATAAGAATATTTATTGGGGACAGGACAATCTCTTCAACAAATGGTGCTGGAAAAGTATATACCATATTCATAAAGGGAAACTAGATTCTTAATTCTTACCATTTATGGAGGGAACTTCAGAAAATTTGTGAAAAATGGAATTAAAGTATGAGTTTATTTTAGTGCAAAAAATGTTAAATCTATGCATAGTTTTTTCATAATATGCACTTGCCATAAATTTTTTTGAAGACTCTCTCATACAGACTTCAGCTCAAAATGGATCAAAGATTTAAATGTTAGCTAAAACTACGAAGCTACTAGAAGAAAACATAGGAGAAATGCTACAAGACATTGGTTTGGTCAAAGATGTTTCTGAACAATACCTCAAAAGCACAGCAATAGTAAAAGCAAAAATAGACAAATGGGGTTATGTCAAACTAAAAAACTTATGCGAGGGACCAGCAGATGGTATCATGATTAGGTTACTGAACTCTGACATGGCTGACTGCAGTTCGAGTCCCAGACCTGGTAGCTTGAAACTCATGCTGGGTGTATTTGTGTGTGTGCCCAAAATCCTGAGAAGAGAATGGAAGAGAAGAGATTGTGGCATGGCCATCCCCCCTGGGGGATGATTTCTTGCTTTCGGTCTCTTTGTCTCTCTGGCAAGTGCATGCGCCCCATACCAAAAACCTCTCTCTTAAAAAAAGAAAAAAAGCTTCTACAAGGCAAATGAAACAAATCAACAGAGTGAAGGGACAACCTACCACATGTGAAAAAAATATTTGCTAACTATTCGTCTGACAAAGGATTAATATATAGAATATACAAGAAACTTGAACTCAGCAGCAAAAAAGAAAAAAAAATCTTATCTAAAAATGGGCCATATAGCTGCTATGAAGCAGTGGTAATGTAAGTGCTCTGCAAGGCTAGAAACGATATGGCTGTCTGCAGGTTTGAATCTCCAGGTCAGTCTGAAAACATGCTGGGGGTGAGTACATGGAGCTGCCCTGAGGAGCTGGAGAGCTGGGGAAGGGAGATTGTGGCATGACAAGATGCTATCAGAGGTGCTTCTCTTTCTCTTTCTCTCGTGTGCATGTGTCCATATCATTAAAAAAAAAGGGCAGTAGATATGAGTAGACACTTTACAAAAGAAGAATACAAATGGCCAAAAAGAACACGAGAAATGCTCAAAATCACTAATCATTAGGAAAATGCAGATCAAAACCACAATGAGGCATCATCTCACTCCAGTAAGAATGGCTATTAAGAAACCAAACAAACAAAATAGCAAAGGTTGTGGAGAAAGGGACATTCTTGTGTACTGTTGGGAATGTAAATTAGTATAACCATGATGGAAAATAGTGTGGAGGTTCTTCAAAAAGCTACAAGTAGAACTACTATTGGGTCATTGGAAAAGTCATGAGGTATTTTTCTGTGCAAAAATGGATCATGACTTTTCTGATGACCCAGTAATCCTACATTGGTGATGTATCCAAAGGAAGGAAAATCAGTATGTCAAAAGGATTTCTGCTTCCATGTTTATTGCAGCATTGTTCACAGCAGTGAAGATATGGAATCATTCTAAGTGTCTATCAACAGATGAATGAATAAGGAAAACATGGTATATGCATATATATGTGTATATATCTATATTATATATATTAGATATGTAAGTATATACAGTATTACATGTATAGTATACATATATATGTATAGTATACATATATAATATATGTATAGTGTGTATGTATATGTGTATATATGTATATACAGACACACAATGAAAGACTATTTCATAAAAAGGGATGAAATTCGGTCGCTTGAGACAACATGAATTTTCATGGAAGTTGTAATATTAAGTGAAATAAGCCAGGAACAGAAAAACATATACTGTGTGTTCTTACTCATTTGTGGAAGCTAAAAATAATTGATTTCATATTAGAAGAGAATAGAAGAGTCGTTGTCAGATTCTGGGAAGTGTAAGGGAAAGGTAGGAAGATATTGGCTATTGGACACAAAATGATACTTAAGCAGCATAAATTTTAGGTTTCTATAGCATAGTAGAATGACTCTGTTTAACAGTAATATGTTGTATACTTCAGGATATTATTATTTAGAGGATATTGAATGTTCCTAACACAGAGTAACATTAAATTTTGAGGTAATGGTTATGCTAATTACCATGATTTAATCATTATATGTTGTATTTATATGTTGTATAGTTATATTGTACTTCATAAATACGCACAATTATAATATGTCAGCTAATTTAAAAAACAATAGATAATATTATTTTTGTGGTAGTGGTATCTTAAGAACATAACAGTTTTAAATAGTAATGTTTTTACTTACTGTTACATATTTTAACCAGAAATTGAATGGTGTATTCACTTGCTTTGAAATGTATTTTTAGTTTTGTTTTTCTGTATTCACTTGCTTTGAAATGTATTTTTAGATTTGTCAGTCTTTTTCTTAGTGCTTGTATACAGTATCGACTATTACTTGACCAGATATTGTTATATATATATATATAAATTTTAAAAATTGACCTGTTGAAATTTGGTTTAAAAAATCTATATTTAAAGAAATCTTACATTGAACCCCCTTTGCAGTGTAAAGAATTCATTGGTAAAGTAAGGGGATACTTCCATCTTGCCTGTTTTGAGAAGTCCACACTATCATGTATCAGGTTTACACAAAGTGAAGTACAAGTATTTTGGTGCTTTAGTGAATGGATACATTTTAAGTATCTCTTCTGAAATTTTCCACCTAACTGCTTACCAGATTTAGTGCTGATTAGATTTTTAAAGTGTTAGATGAGATCTAATCAGAACGGTACTATTCTGAGTACTTTAATCATCCTCTTTGAACTTTTTTATTATTGTGTTGCGTTGTTGGAAAGGCCATGACCCATTTTTGCTAAGAAAAACAGAAAAAATTCATCATGACTTTTCTGACAACCCAGTACACAATGATTGTGTTGCCAGTTAACTTTCCTATTGGGCAGTGAATGTACTGATCGGCAGAGAATACATACTGGAATAAGTAATTGCTTTCTCTGCCTTCCTGCCTTAGTTGTATTTGCCGCCATTTGTTTGTTTTCTGTTAGAAGTTGTCTTAGTCCATTACTGTGTTGCTAACAGAAATACCTAAGACTGAGTGATTTGTAAGGAAATAAAGGTTAACTGACTCACGGTTTTGGTGACTAGAAAGTCTAAAGGCATAGGCCTGGAATCAGGCCAGCCTGTAACATGGCTCATGGAAGCACAGAGGATTGCAGGCATGTGCAGGGAGAGAGAGCAAGCTGTGAACACTGCCCCCTCTCTTACAGCAGCCAGCTCTTTTGAGAACCAACTCTTTTTTGTGAGACCTAGAACTCACTGGGTCTCATGAGATGTCATCAATCTATTCATGAGAATGCTGCCCCTGTAATGCAGTTACCATAATCCAGTCATCACCCATTAGGCATACCACTTCCCAAATACCAAAATATGAAACTTTGGTGACAGACTAGTGTCCATACCATGAAAGACCACTTTAAAGATATACCTGAGCAAAGTATAAATTATTCTTAGACTATAGTGACTAAAAGTTCAGACTATCCATTGGAGTCCTAAATACTATCTGAGATATGATAATGTAGTAGTTCTTGGATGTATTTGAGCCTCCTGAACTTTAAAAATCCTAATGTAGAGAAAAAGTGATAGCAAAGTACCTCATACATCCCATACTTTGAGGTAGAAAGGAAACTTTGTTATTAGTGTATTGTTGAAGTATACAGATAAAATTATAATCCCAACAAATGTTTCAAATAACTGCCCTAAAATAATCCTTATGTAAATACCAATGATATTATAACGTAACTATAACTTTAAAGAATTACATGTAAAAACTTGACTTTTATGTGTTTAAATCAAGAGAAACTTTATTTATTTATTTATTTATTTATTTTTTGGAGAGGTTTTCGCCATAGGGCGCGTGCGCTCGCCAGACAGACAGAGACATAGAGACAGAAAGCGAGAAATCACCCCCCAGGGGGGATGGTCACGCCACAATCCCTTCTCCTCCATTCTCCTCTCGGGATCTTGGGCACGCACGCACACGCGCCCGGCGTGAGATTTAAGCCACCGGGTCCGAGACGCGAACCGCGGTTGACTACGTGGGAGTCCAGCGACATAGCCATTACGCTAACTGCTGGTTCCCAAGAGAAACTTTATTTTTGACAGAGCATTTTAAATGAAGTACTAAACAGTTTAAAATTGAAGTTTTTTTAAAAAATATAATTATTTATTTTATTTTATTTATTCATTCATTTTATTTTAATTTGACCAGAGAGAGACAGAGAGAAAGAGAAATTAAGCTGCCAGATCCAGGACTTGAACCGTGGTCAGCCATGTGGGAGTGTCCAGCACCTTAACCACCACACCACCTGCTGGTCCCAAAATTGAAGTTTAATAGAGTTGATTTTTTCCCTTTACTTATTTATTTTAATTCATTTATTTTAAAAATTTTTGAGAAGTTTTTGCTATAAGGTGCATGCGCTTGTCAGAAAGACAGAGAGAGACAAAGAGACAGAAAGCAAGAAATCACCCCCCCCCCGGGGGATGACCACACCGCAGTTCCTGCTCCTCCACTCTCCTCTTGAGATCTTGGGCATGCATGTACACGCACCTGGCGTGAGTTTAAGCCACCAGGTCTGGGACATGAACTGCATTCGACTACATGGGAGTCCAGTGACATAGCCATTATGCCAACTGCTGGTCCTTAATAGAGTCTATTTTTAACAATAGGCTGTGGTAGAAAGGCTTCTGATACAAGTCCAAATAAGCAAATGAATTCAGAAAAATAATACGATATAATATGATAATATTATGATAGTTATAATATGATATAGTTAAGTAAGAGGTGGCCATGACAAGACCTGTGATATGTAATTAGCCCATTTCTGTGTACAGGAGGTCCAAAAATATTTTAAATAATTAATCAAAGATTAAAAAATCCACTCTCCACTGGACACCCCCTGGCCCTTCCTCTGACAAGAGGAGTGAGTCCAGAGATCTCACCACACTAAGCATGAGGCTATAGTTATGTGGCATTTCACATAGAAAATAGCTAGTAGTAGAACTTAGGTCCTCTTTTACCTAATAGGAAAAAAAAAAAAAGTAAAGAACCACAAGAAATAAAGGAAAAAGTTTATCAGGGCCAACAAGTGGCATGGTGGCTAAGGGCACCCACATGGCCGACTGGTTCGAGACCCAAACCCAGACCTGGCACTTCCCTTCTCTCTCTCTCTCTCTCTGGTCAAATTAAAATAAGTAAATAAATAAATAAACTAAATAAAATAATTCTTTAAAAAAATCTGTCATCATCTCATTCATTATTTTGATTTTATCTTTTACCTCAGTAAAATTGCTTACTGTAGCATTATTGATTCCATCAGTTTCATATTAGAACCTTAAACTTTCTTTTTTAGTAAATTATTCTCATGTTTTTCCTTTCTTTCAGAACATTTGCACCAGTGTGGGATGTGTTTAAAACGTCCACAGAGAAATTAGCAAATTGTCACTTGGATCTTGTTAGAAAATTACAAGAATTAATAAAAGAAGTTCAGAAGTATGGAGAAGAACAAGTCAAATCTCATAAAAAGGTGTCCTTTTTTACTCATTAAAGAATTGGTTGGTCAGATATTGGGTGCTTTACAGTTCAGTAATTTTGGTGAATCATTTCATATGAAACAGACTAAAGAAGAAGTTGCAGGAACTCTAGAAGCTGTCCAAACCATTCAGAGCATAACTCAAGCCCTCCAAAAATCTAAGGAAAATTACAATGCCAAGTGTGTGGAGCAGGAGCGTTTGAAAAAAGAAGGAGCTACACAAAGAGAAATAGAAAAGGTAATTGTAATAAAATTAGTTCCTGTACCATTTCAGAGCATTTTGACATACCAAACTCTGTATATATAATCTTTATTCACTCAAGAATGATCTAATTTTGAAGAAGACATGAGCCTTACAGTATTACTGATTTATCTAGTGTGGAAGTGGATTTGTAAAATCTGTTGTCTTTGGTAAATAGTTCAGGAAACACATAAGAAATGGTCTTTTAAAAATGTCATTGACACATTTGCGGTAATTTTTTAAAAAGAATTATTATATTTAACTTTATTTATTTATTTATTCATTTGTTTATTTTAATTTGACCAAAGAGGGACAGAGTGAGAGAGAGAGAAAGCAAGACACCAGGTCCAAGACTCAAACCACAGTCAGCCATGTGGGAATCCCAGCGCCTTTAACCGCCACGCCACCTGCCAGCCCCACGCAGTATTTTTTTTAATAGTAGATAACTGATGAGATATATGCTTGGTATAGGATTTAACAATGAAATAAAAATGGTTTTGGAGGAAGATTTTAGAACAGATGCTTAGAAATAAGCTTTAAATGTATGTTGTAGGTGATTTATTGCTGACTTTGAGTACATTTATGGAGCACTGTGGTAAACCACAGCCTTTTCCCCAACTCATGCTTTAATTGAAAATAAATTTTGTCTCTTTTTTAAATGTTTAAAATAGCCGTTCGCTACTTGATGTGGTATATCTCATTTTGAAAAGTTTGAAAAAATATATAGTTAAAAAAAAAAAGAAAACCAAATTATACAGTATTGTAATTGTGACTATAACTGTGCATAAACTTGGGCAAAAACAAGGAGAGAATGTAAGAAAAAAATTGGTGGAATTTAGAGTACTATATGTCCTTCAGTGTTTGCACAATAAAAGTTAGGAAGAGGGGAAAAGGTAAGACTAAGTTTATGACTTGAAAATACTAGCTGTTCCAGGCATAGCAATTATGAATAAATTATAAAAAGAGAAAACAAAACATAATAACAGGTTTCAGAAAGAGCCATAATATGATCTCTGTGGACCAGAAATCCGAAGTGGCATGTAGAGATTGATTATGCAGGCTTAGGACTCAAAAGCCCTAAGGTAGGCAGTGGACTGTGGCTCTTGTGTGGTAAAGGGGTCTAAAGGTTCTCCTCTTAAGATGAGGCACAGAGATCCTGATTCATTGCCTAAAGCTATAGGTAGGGAAGAAAGAAGGCTCTTGGGCTGTTGCTAAAGCCTTACTGGAAGTTGAAGGTTTAGGGACAAAAAGTAGAGAGTCACAGTCCTGACTAGGAATCAAGGCAAGGGATCAGTTTGTAACTGTTTTTACTATATCTCTAGAATTCTTGCCAGGAAGTAATTAACTGTGGCCAGCCATGTAGTAGAGTGGTTAAGCGTGGTACATAGGAAGTGGTCTCCCACATGACAGACTGGATGTTCAAATCCTGGCTCCTGAAACCTTGGAAAACGTGCTAGGTACCTATATTTGTGTGACAAAATCCCTGACAGGATGGAGAAATGGAGGAAAAAGGATTGTGAAATGATCATACCTTTTGGGGGTGCTTTCTCTCTCTCTTGCAAACACCCTCTGCAAAAAAAAAAAAAAAAAAAAAAACAAAA